AACCCGGCGGCCCGCATGGTGCACCGGGTGGTGGGTGCCACGGGTCTGCTGCTACCCGAACGTGCCCCGCGCTGCTGTGAAACGCGGGGGCTGCCGCTGCTTCCCGCTCGATGCCACGGCAGTGAAGCTGTAAACGTCCCCTCGCTCCGCGCTGCGGCGCGGGCCCACGACTTGGTCCCGGCTCGGCTCTGTGTGCCCAGCTGCAGATCCAGCCTCCTCCTGGCAGGTCGCTACAACAGGGAGAGCTTTTCCAAACACTCCACCTACAAGTCATTTGCTAGGAACAAATGGGCGATTGGCCAGGACACACTCCTCCATCTGGCCGGGCATCCCGTTCCCGAGCCTTTGTGGTTGTGCTCGAGGAAGGCAGGGGAGCCACAGAGGCGTTTTCCCATTGGAAGGCAACTGCTTCCTCGGACAGCCTGGCCTGGAGCACCTGTGCCTGGGCTGCACCCACACAGGGCTTCCATGCACGGCCCTTGCTCCGTGGGGTATTTTGCCCGTGGTTAATGAGAGAAGAGCTCTGTTTACTCTTCTCCTGTATAAATTCCCCAGTGTTTCCCCCGCAGTGAAATCTCCCTGTAGACTTTGCTCTGCCAGGGCAGAGCTCTCACTGCTGCACCCAGGAAGGCCCTGTTTTCTCTTGGCAGCGTGTGGCCGTCTCCCCCACGGCTGGGGGTGATTTTCGGGGTCCGTGCTGCTGCAGGGAAGTCTCACGGGGATTAAGTGCCAGTGTTTGTTTCTTTCTGTGCCTGCTGCCGTTTCTCTGACTCTGTTTCTTGCTGTGCGTTTTGCAGTATCCGGAGCTGAGCCAGGAGTCGGGGTCTCCGTTTGTCTTCATCTGCGCGAACCCCCAGGAGCTGATCGTGAAGTTCCCCATCAAGGGCAAGCCCAAAATCTGTAAGTAGCAAAGCGGCCCCGCTGGCCCCCGCCTCGGCCTTGCTCGCCTGCTCTCGTTGCCACCTTGGCTCCCCATTGCCACACGAGCTCGCAGCCTCTGCCCTGCGCGCTTTGATCTCAGGGTGTTCGCTCCATGATTCCGAAGCGTCTGTAATCTCCGTTTTTTTCCTCCTTTGCCTTCGGTTCCTCATTGCCTGGATGTTGCTTCCTTCTGAATCCCGTGGCTCTTCCCGTCTCTGCCAACGCTTGGCAGCCGCAGCGCTTGCACACTACGAGGAAACACGTGTGTGCAGCGAGCGCTCGCAGCCCAGGCCGGGCCGCGAGGCGCAGGGCTCGTGTGGCCCTCGCAGGAGGAGGGGAACCGGGCGATGCCGAGCTCCCCGCTGGCCCGTGGCGAGGGGCCGCGGGGCCAGATGGAGGTGCCGCCACGGGCCGGCAGGATGCGACGTCCTGGCAGAGCTCGCGGGGAAGCGCGGCAGCATCTGCCCGCCACGCTCGCCAGCGTCGCTAGCGCCTTTTACGAGCCACCAGCCCTCCGCAGGCTGCCAGTTATCCCTGCCCGCTGCCGTACGGAAAAAAAAAGGAAGGAGAGATGGATGCAGCAGCTGGGGAGTCTGTAGTCAGCTCTGTCCTTATTAGCAGCTTCCCCGCCACAGAGCCTGGGGAAGGCTCTACGTGCTTTCAGGGGATGTGAAAAATTAATTTGACAGGCTAAAAGCAGCCTGAGCAGAAATAGCCCTGGCTGCTGCATTAGCCGTGCCGATGACCGGGTTTTCATTCCCGTTTGCAGCCTGGTTCTCCGTGACCGAGCGGCTGTGGCAGGATTTCGCGGTGCTGGTTGGCAGGGGGGTCGTGGATCCCTCCCTGGGCGCTTGGGCTCTGCCCTCCTGCCCGCACGGCGCGGAGCGGGGAGGAGGGCAGGGCAATTTGTGCTATTCCGGCTGGTGCGGCAGGGCCAGGGAGGTGTGCGGAGCCGCAGGAGCAGCGCTGGGTGCCCGGTGGCCGCAGGGCTCACGCGAGGGACCGGGGACCGCAGGGACATCTCGTGTGGAAGGGTCTTTGCTCTGCTTCCTGCTCCGCATCCCTGCTCTGGCTCTGCTCGTGCCACCGTTTTGCCGCCACCTCTGCTGAGCTGACAGCAGTGAGAGCTGATGCTCCTGCTCCTTCCTGCCTTCCCCTCTGTCACATCGCGTCCTTTGTGTGGTGACAGTTTCCTGCTTGGAGAAGGATCAGTCTAACAGCCTGGAAGGAAGCCGGCTGTGCTGGCGGCCGCCCGCGGGTGCCGCCCCCGCCGGC